TTTGGTTCAGATCCCTGCCAGCACCTCCTCCSAGTGTTGTGGCGATGCCCAGGACACGCTGCTCATCCCAAGCAGAGCCAGAGCCCCACAAACCCTGCAGCAGGCGGCACTGCCAGCCCCGAACTGACACCACAGCCGACGGCAGCAGCCAGGGGGGAACAGTGTCCCTGCACAAGGGACAGGCAGACACAGGGGATGTGTGGGGCACGAGGATGGGGCTGCCCCACTCCCAGCGCGGGTGACGCTTTGGGATGTGGAGCCTCCCAACCCCGGTGGCAGCACAAGCGCCCACCACCATCCCAAAATCCTGGAGTGCTGTGGGTTGGAAGGGATCTCCGAGTTCATCCCATTYCAACCCCTRCCAAAGGCAGGGACACCTTCYACCAGCCCAGGGAGCTCCAAGCCCCATCCAACCTGGCCTTGAACACTTCCAGGAGTGAGGATTTGCATCTCCAGGTGCCCCAGCCTCCATTCCCGAGGTGCTGAGCTGGAGCTGCTCCAGAGCCCAGCCCCAGCCCGGTGACACGCGATGCCAGAGCCCRGCGACATCAATAATGCAGCGGGGTCAGAGCCCGGCGACCCCACGGCTCCGCCCAGCTTCTGCCGCTGCTTTGGGATTGAAGCACTAATCCCAAAAGCAAGGGATCCCTGTGCCGCTCCCGGCTGAGYTCCCACAGAAATCAGACCCTTCACGGCCACAGGAGTGCCCACGGTGAGGATTTTGTCTGGGGGAAGCAGAGGCTCTGCAGCCCCACAGGCACCTTCCCTTCTTCATCCATCCCATCCCACCCCATSTCCTCAGGCAGGAGCAGCCCCCCGAGAGTGCCCAAAAGGCTTTGCAARGCGTTTGTTTTTAAGCAGAGCTCCCAGGGTGACACAGCCCTGCTGCCCCGACACAGCTTCCCCTCGGCTCTGCCCTCTCGCACCCGCAGCATCCCCAAAAATAGCCGGGAATTGCTCCAGGACACAGCCACAGCTCCGTGGGCTCCGTGCCCGAGGGTTTYCCCAAAGCTCTGCCTGCACAGTGGGAACCTCACCCGGGCTGTGCCAGGGCTCAGCTTTGCCATCTTTCCCATCACCCTCCCTGCGGATCTGAGCCTGCCACGGGCACTGCAAGATGCTGCAGGGAACTGCTTTAATTCAAACCATCCACTTATTTATTTTTTTTTAAATTGCATAATTGCTGCAGACATTTCTGCTCATGTTTGGTTTTATTACATCTCTGTGGTTATTCTACAAGCCCTAAATTTTGGGCCTCAACTGAGTTGGCAAAACGCTCCAAAAACATCTGTCCTGAGTTACTCCCCTCGCAGCGCTGTGGCAGAAGACATCACAACACAGGGGGTTCCTTTGCATCAGAGAGAAGTTCTTACTCCTGACCCACAGAGAAGGGTAAATATTTACTGCCTCGAGGGCAGCACTGACCCTACACCTGGCCCCAACAGGCCCTCGTCCTTCAGAGAGCAGCACATCTGTCCCCAGACACACAGGAGGCTCAGGAGCTGCCACCACCCCCGTGTCACCCCAGGGATACCATCCTGCTGCTTCCAGCTCCGGCCAGCAGCAATCCTAAAGTGACACACCCTTCCCCTGAGCAGGGGACAATCAACAACCGGCCCCATTAAAATTCCCAGACTCAACAGGCTTGAATACAACAGCTCCAAGAGGTGGGTTTGCTCTCCAAAGGATAAACTTTGGAGGAGTTTGTCCTCTGCCAGGGTTGTAAAGGTCCCTTTGCACACCCACCCCCTGCAGCCGGCGTGAGCGGGAGTGAAGGACAGGAATTGCATCACCCCCAAGGCCTCTCTGGCTTTGCTGCTGGTCTTGCTTTCCCTACAAACACACCTGGAGAAAGCAGCAAGTCCCAAGGACAGCCCTGAGGTGGCTCACACACCCTGTATGGCCGTAATGGGGTCCCAGTGCCAGCCCAGCACCTATTGGGACAGCAGAGCCACAGCCCCTGCAAAGGTGCTGCCAACTCGGGGCCAGGACAGCTGCCCACCACGGACCCCTCTGGAGTGACAGCAGAATCCAGGAGAGGCCCTGGCAGCCCTGCAGCTTCTCTGCCTTTCACACACCACCAGCCCAGGCATTTAATGACAGCCATCCCTGGCCCAAAGGCACCTTTGCCATTAGAGCAGCTCTCACCAAGAACCCAGAGCAGCCCCCGCCACACTGGGACCCCCCCCAGCCCTCACCTCCGGACCTGCCAGAGCCCTGGGAAGGCAGGAAACAGCCTGGTGGCCACCAGAACCTGCTGGGGACAGGGGAGTACCTGGTATGAAGGACACATGCCATGCCAGGGGACAGAGTGAGACAGCACTCAGTGAGGAGCAAACCCCCTCAGCCCCAGGAACGGGCACAGTKCTGTGGGACAGGGCAGGGCAGTCCTGGCTCCCCGTGCCACCACAGCCACACAGGGCATGATGGGTCCCCTCATGGGGACAGCAGAGCTGTGCCAGCCCCAGCTGCTGGCTGCCAGCCCTGCTCCCCAGGCAGGATTTTAAACACRGGCTGAATTATTCATGGCATCACCGAGGTTCCTGGAGCACGAGGTCCTGGGCACCAGGTCCCTGCCGGGGTGCACRGTGACCTCCCCACCCACAGCACTCTGGAGGGGTCACCCCCCATGGGAAATCAATCTGGGACAGCACAGGGGGTGGCAGGGCTGTACCCACCCTCCCTGTCCCATCACAAACACCACATTTCCCTCCTGGTTTGGTTTTAGTTGCTCATCCCTTCAGGCTGCCCCGAGCAACCCCGGCCTCAAATCCAGGAAAACTCCAGCCTTTCTATAAACAAACGCTGCTCACAAAAATGCAGCTCCCYGGGAGCAGCCCCGGTTCCCACAGGGGCAGGTTGGGGCCGCAGGTCAGCAGGGGGAGGGTGCTGCCTTCTCTCCTTCACTAAACACCTCCAGGGAAGTTCACAAAAGCCCTAAATCTGGCTGGGGACAAAATTAAGTTTATCTCAGCTGTCACAGCTCCACTGCAGTGGCAGAAATCTCCCAAAATCTCCCCAGACTCAGGAGCTGCAGATTCCAGTGTCTGTGATCTGCTGGATCAGGGTCAGGCTCGAGCTGCCCCATGGAGAGACAAAGTGTTGGGGTCTGAGAGGGGCAAAAATGGGGGTCCACCACCCCTTATCCACCATGTCCCAGCCTCCAGCTGCTTTGGGAGCCAGCAGGAGGGACCCACCACCCAGACCACGAGCAGATTTTATCACCTTGAGTCAAACAGGACTGCAAGGCACAGGAGCAGGATGCAGCTCCTGCTGCTCCGGCCACCCCTGAGCTCACCCCGGAGTCACACACGGCTCTGGCACCCAGAGGTGACCTTKGCCAGGAGAGCTGGCAGTGCCCAGCTGTCCTGGGAGCTGCTGAGGCAGGAACAAACCAGCTGCTGGCCCGAGGTGCTCAGCAGCCTGTCCCCATATCCCCATCCCCGGGGAATCACCCCTGGCACCAGCTCCTTTTGCCCAGCCTGAACACCAGCCCTGTCCCCAGCACTGAACACCCAGGAAAAGTCCCCACCAAATCCCCCAAAGGGAGCACGGGCTCTCCTCCCAGCCCAGCCCTGCTCTCCCTGTCCCACCCTCTCCTCCTTTGGAGGAGCCAAAGCCCAGAGGCCGGAAAGGACCGAGCTGTTCCCCGGCCTGACTTCCCGTCAGCACATACTGCTGGATCCCGACCAGCGCTCAGAACAGAGGCACGAGAGGAAATGCCCCGCTTGGAGAGCCACCCCCAGCCACCCTCTGCTCGGGAACAGCTCCTGGAGAGCCACCCCCAGCCACCCTGTGCTCGGGAACGGCTCCTGGAGACCCACCCCCAGCCACCCCCAGCCACCCTCTCCTCGGGAATGGCTCCTCTCCCACCGCCCGTCCCAGGGCTGCTCCAACCCCCAGGGGAAACACAGCCATCACCATCCTCACAGGACCTCCCAACAGCTTCAAACCAGGCAAACGATAAAGAAAAATAAAACACCGCTTCTGAGACTGCCCCTGGCAGCCCCAGGCAAGGAGGATCCTCCTCTGCCAGACTCCAAACAGCTCCAGAGGGAAGGGTCAGATGTGAGACCCCCTCGCTATTGCTGAGATGCTCCTGCCTCGTCCCAGCATCCCCCCTGATCTGCACAGGGGTGATTCCTCTGTGAGTGGCTTCTGAGGACACCACACTGTCCTGATTTTCCCATGGTTGTCCCCCTGACAGCCCAGTGGCCACTTCTGGGCCAGCACTGAGCCACCACCCCTGCTCCGAGGGGACAGGGACCACCCTGGCACTGCAGCCCGTGCAGGGCCCCCAGGGAGGAGGAAGAAGGTGAGGAGGAGGAGGAGGAGGGGGATACCCACAGCAGCTCCGTGCTGGAGGAGCCCTGTTGAGCACCAGCAGCACAGAGAAGAAGCACAGGAGTGGGAAGGTGGCCGGGAGGTGACAGATGGCCACAGGGCAGGGCTGCAGCACCCAYCCAGCTCCTGCCCCAGTGGCACCTGGAGCGGGGCAGCCCTGCAGCCAGCCCTGCTATCAGCCCGGCACCAGCCCGCGCTGTCTCCGCCAGCCCCGCAGCCATGGAAACGGGACCTTTCCCACCCCGAATTCCTTCCCTCCTGCAAAGGAGCTCACCAATAAAAGGCACTCAGTGCCGAATCGCAGTCCAGACCCAGGCCATTTAAAAAGAGCCAATTTCCTTCCTATTCCAGAAAAAAAGCTGTGAACACGTTCACCCCAGATGTTCCCTCCCTCCTGCAAATAATGGAGGGAGAGGAGCTCGTTCATGAGCTGCAGCTTGGCCACATTCCTGCTCCGAGCAGGGATCCAGGCTGGGGCACCAGAGGGAATGCACAGCCCCCAACAGTCAGGGTGCTCGGAGCCAGAGATTCCAAAGGACTCCCTGAGCTGGCAGCCACACACAGAAGGTTTTTCTCTGATGGGACAAACCGTGTTCCAAGAGCAAGGCAATCCCAGAGGGTCCCACCCGCTGCCCCCGGCCCCGCTCTGCCCTCACCTTCCTGCTGCCGTTGGAGGAGAAGCTGTGGGAATGCCTCTGCARGTTGCCCCCGCTCAGCTCCAGCTGTGGCTTCCACACCTCGCCGTTGTCGCTGGCCAGAGCCTTGGCGGGGGGCACGGCCGAGCTGAGCAGGATCCCGTTGTGCACCATGTCCTCGGTGCAGGTGAGCCGCAGGCTGCACAGGTACTCATCCGTCTCCTTGTCCACCACCAGCAAGCGTGTCTCTGTCTCCACMGCCTTGATGCGCTGCACCACCTGGGGACGACAGGGACAGCTCAGCAGGAGCCCGGGGGACACTCGGGGACAGTAGGAGCCACACCCAAGGGCCATCAGCTCTTCCACAACGCTGCAGCTTCACTCTGGGTGAAGGTTTGCTGGTGCTTCCAGCTCCCAGCAGCTCTGCCCAGATCACCCATGACCACCCACCCTGCTCAGCCAGAAACATCCACAGGGGCTGCCACTGCCCCAGGAGCGCCCACAGGGGCTGCCACTGCCCCCCGAGCATCAGTAACCCTGTGCCTGGCACTGTCCCTCAGAGGACAGCACTGTCCCACCGAGCAAATCCCCTCGTTTCCTCAGTCCAGGGTGCCTTTGTACTCCCATGCCCGGGGCAGGGTGTGAGCCAAGGGGCACAGGAAGGCTTCAAGCACCCCTGTGGGCAGCTGGGGGCTGCACTGTGCCCCATCACACSGTTGTACAGATGGATTTAGGAAAGAAACAGCCCAGTCCACCCATCTATGCCCAGTACGTGCTGGGGACCAGCATAGATCGGGGCAGCCAGTGCTGGGAGCGGGAGATGGGCCGGTCCCTGCCGGGTTCCAGCTCTGGCAGCGTGAATGGGGACATTGTCCGGCTCCTTCACAGGGATCAGCCTGGCAGAGGCTCCGACAGACACTCACAGCGGGGAGAGCCGGGAGGAGCTGATCCCGCAGCCAGGCAGGGGGTAAATCCCACCAGGGTGGGCTGCGGTGGAAACGGAAAATCCAGAATATCCACAGGGAAACCAGCTCCAGCCTGGCTGCTGGCAGCCACCGAGGGCACGTCCTCCCTGCAGAGGCCTTCCTCCCGAGGAGGAGGAGGGGTGCTATCGCTGGCAGTGCCGCTCAGCCACCAGCCCSAGCCGTGGGGTGGCCCTGAACACCCCAGACGTGCTGAAAACCACCCCCAAAACAGCCCTGGGCTCCTTGCAGGGCTCCTGCTCTGATCTAGGTCACAGTAGCYAGGCAAGCCAAGGTTAGAGCGACAAACGAGCCTAACGCGCAATTAACCAGCGTTTATTTACTCCCTGCGAGCCTCACTCAAGGTCAACAGAGCCCGTATCTGCAAACAAGAAAAAAAACAGCGCGCAAGAAATGCACAGGCTGCAGGCAAGGCTGCTCGTCCTGAGCCAACTCGTGCAGCAACGCTGGGGCTCCCAGCCGGAACCGACCCGAGGGTGCTGATCCGTCAGGCCCAGAACATCCATCTGCTGCCGCTCAGATCCGCTTACATCTGCCATCAGTCGGTGCTGCTGACACCGGCACCGCCTGGCAGGGACGCTTTTCCCAGAGGGGACCTGGTGGCAGCAGCCAACACGCAGCACTAAGATGGGGAATGCGCTGGTCCCGTGGTGATGGCACCCAGAGCCCGCGGTTTGGGTGCTCCAGGCGGCACAGGGAACCACAGGGGTCCCACGGACCACAGCAGAACTCAGAGGGACAAGGGAAAAGGTCCAAAGCCAGTGTGGGATGGTGACAGCCTCACCCCACTGCCGAGCCCCCTGGCAGCCATGGAAGAGCAGGGATGGAGCAAAGGTCCCGCGAGTGCCGGGGMCTGAGCCAGGCAGGGATGGAGAGCGGCACAGAGCAGCCCGTGGAYCCCTCCCCGTGAGCAGGACGAGCAGAAGGGGCTGTGAGGAGCCCCCCAAGGCAGCAGGGCTCGCTGGGGACAGAGCAGAGAGCGGGGCGGCAAAGCAGCAGCCCCCGGCGCGTCCTGCCCAGCACCGTACCCGCTTCCGAGCCATGCTCCCAGCCTCCGGTCCTCGCGGCTTCTGGAGACAATGCAGCCTCCCCTGCGCATCTGGGACCTTCCGAGCACCCGACCCAGCCCCATGATTTCCGCAGCTCCACCCAGACAGACTTTCACCCCCGCTGACAGCAGCGCCATCCCGGCAGAGCCCTGCCACCCTTGCCAAACAAGAGCCGCCCAGGAAGGGACTCACGGTGCCACCGGGAGCAGCTCCCGGTGCGGTGTCGCTGCCCTGCTCCATGCTGCCGGCCTCCGCAGAGCTTCCCGTGCTCCGGGCACGGCGGGAGCTGCGGCTCTGACCGGCTCCGAGCAGCCCGGGATGCAGCTTTGCATCCGAGACACAAAACACCCCGAGAACACGTTCTGCCTCCGCTCCTTGGGCAAGGCCAGGAAGAAAAACAGAGAACAAAGACAAAAATGCTGCCAGCTTCAGCTGGAAACACAGTTACACCCAAGCAGCAAGGCCTGTTCGCTGYGGGCTCCATCCCGTGCACATGGAGAAGTGTTACTTGTTCAAGGCTGGGCATGGAGCAGCACAGGAGGGACCACGGTGAGGTGGTGTGTGATCCGCCAGGGCATCGCCCTTCCCACAGCCCTTTAGTGGAGCCACCTGGAAGGCTCAGCCTCACCTTCAGCACAGCAACATCCACACCTGGGGGTGAAGTCTGGGAACCCACAGCCCCCCAAAACTCAGCGGGGTCCAGGCACATCCCAGCTCTGCCCCCATGCAGGGCTGACCAGATGTTTTAAGCGCTGGGCAGTCCTTGGGGGAAGGAAGAGGTTCTTGTGGTATTGGGGCAGGAAAATGGGTGATCCCAGAGCAGGCAGGGCTCCCACCACTCGCACGCTCACAGACCCCAGCRCCATGGCAGCCAGAGTTCCTTGACACCCTGGATGGGACACCCTGTTCCAATCACTGCTCTGCACAGGGACCGAGTGCCAGCGCTCCGTGCCACCGCCAGCAGCCAAAAAAAAAATAAATAAAGAAGAAGAAAAAAAAAATAGGAAGAAAGAGAAATTTCCCCCTCCCATTTCACTTGACCTACTGGGAAGGCCCAGCACGTTTCAAAGGCACAGCTGGCTCCGCTATCGCCCGTCCCCAGCAGCCCGGCTCCAGCAGGGAGCTCTGGTGGCTTCCAAGGCACCGCAGGAACACAGCCCTCCTTCCTGCCCAGCCAGATCAAAGATGGGGATCCTCCTTCAAGGGGGCTGAAATCGCATTCAGGACAAACATCAACTTTCACACGCTGGCTCAGATCTTCAAAACAAGCTCAAGGAGCCACTAAACCCCACCAGGCCCACGGAGAGGAGCCCACGGAGCTTTAGTGGAGCCACCTGGAAGCTCGGCCTCACCTTCAACACAGCAACATCCACACCTGGGGATGAGGTCTGGGAACCCACAGCCCCCCAAACTCTGCGGGGTCAAGGCACATCCCAGCTCTGCCCCCATGCAGTGCTGGCAGCAGGGCTGACCAGATGTTTTAAGTTACTAAAACACTAAATCCTGCAGAGCCCCATGAGCCACGAGGCAAATTGTGCCCCTGCCAGGCTCTGAGTATCCAGCAGGACTGGAGCAGCTTGAACCCCACTGCTTGGTTTTTTCCTCGTCGCTTGTTTTTTCCGCATTTCTTGGTTTGGTTTTTTTTTAGACTAAATTGTTTGACAAATTCAAGTTCCAGTTTTACAAGCAGAAAATGCCACAGCCTGAAACGACTTCTGTTGGCGAGCAGAGAAAYAGCTCCCTCGGACCTCCCCAGCCACAGCCGTGGTCAGGAAGAGCCACGACTCCCACCCCCGAGCACTATCKCTCTCAGGCCAGCCCAACTGCTGAACATCTGCACGGCTTTATCTGGAGATTTTAAGGCATCTTCCTACACTCCAGGCTGCACAAGCAGGCGCAGCTCGCCCAAAGCAGCCAAGAAAACCCACAGCAGAGCCGGAAATAAAGCCCGGGTCTCCCCATTCCTTTCCACCACAGATTGCATAACGCGGCAGAGCCCTGCCCAGCCCCACACACCTTCTGCTTTCCCACCTTGACACGATTCCAACACGCCGTGCCCAGCGCCGAGACCCCGCACCGCACAGAACCGCGGGTCCCGGACCACGCAAAGCCCCTCTGCAGCCCAGACACGGCATTCGGGGGAGCACCCACCCCACCGCGACACCCCCCAGCGCCGCCCAGACCGCGGATGCTCCCGCAGGGAGCATTTTGGGTGAAACCCCCGCCTTTTGCCCGCTGCAGGGAGGCTGGAGCCGGGCACTGCCAGGCAGCAGAGCGCTCAGCGCGGTGCCCATGCCCGCTGTCCCCGCTCCGTGCCCGCACCTGGTGATGCGTCTCCTGCTCCACGTTGTGCCCGTTCACCTCGACGACGCGGTCCCCGGCGCGCAGCCCCGCCGCCTCGGCGGGCGAGCCGGGCTCCACTTTGCGGATGAACTGGCCGCTCTTGCCTTTCTCGCCGTGCAGGTGGAAGCCGTAGCCGCTCTCCCCTTTGAGCATTCGGCACAGCCGCGGCTTCAGCTGGTCCTTGGCCATGGCCGGCGGCGGAGCGGCGGCGGGAGGCTGGGCGGGCGCGGGGCCGCTTTTATGGGCGGCCCGGGGCGGGCGCCGAGGGGCGGGTCGGGACC